ACTCATATATAACTAAAGCAAAATCCACAGGGACAGACAAAAATGCACACTAGTGAAATCCTGATACTTCAGTGAGGAAGATTCACTCACCTATAAAAACACAATCACCTTTCAATTGTGTCACTGTTTCAATCATGAATTGTTTTAAAAAAAATTATCGTATCAGTACCACGAGTGAACCTGCTGAAACAACAGAATGGCTATATTACTCTAAGAGAACAGTAAGTGCACAGTAAAGTTTTTGCCAGATACTCTCTTAGTTGACCTAAATTTCTTCAAGTTGTACTGTTCATAATGTGCTCTCTAATGTGCAATGTAAGGTAATTAGAGTCATCTGTATTTAACTTACAGAGGAAAAAAAATCTATTATCTAATCTAGCTGATCCCCTGATAGCCTGCTGAAAGTAAAATACTGTAGCCTATTGCCTGCCCTTTGACAAGTGCTAATTATTTCCTGTCCAAGCACATTTTTCTCATGTAATTCTAAAGTACACAATAGACTGATCTCTAAAACACGGGCAGCACTGCTAGCACTGTGGCGGATGTTTTATAACTTTCACCACTGTATGCTTGATGGCTACCATAGTCAATGCTTCATTCCAGACATCTAGCTGAAGCTTTGATGAGGTAAAGTGAGGTGTATGGTAACAGTCTGTTTATGTAGATCATATGGATGAGACTCTTAGATAGGTCACTGGGATTGGAAACATCAAATGGAAAAAAGGATTATGGTTATTTAATACTCACGGGACACTTTCTTTCTGAGCTTTCAAGACACCATGCTCTTGAAATTTTCTTTCAGGTGTTTAGTTTTAAGGAGGTCTGCACTTTGTCTGCTTCTAAGCTTCCCCCCGCCCCCGAAGTACTTTAGCATTTTTGTGTCAGAGACTAGACTGTGTCTACCACATCAGTGCTGGCTCCAGCTTCTGATTAAATTGGTAGTAATAAGCAAAGGCCAGAAACAATGTAACCAGACTCCTTTCAAAACAAGTCTTTTTTGTAACAATCCCTGATGATTTGGTATATTAGGAAATTATTGTTAAACTAAAAGGACACTAAGAAGACATGTCAGTCATTACAATTGTTTATTCTTTCCCTGTCTCTAAAGAGGCCTCTATTTTGTTTAACAAAAGAAAAGTGGTGATTTCCAGGTGAAGAAAAGCCTTTGGAGATCTCTCCAGCTAATGATACACATCTCAACTCATTTAGTTTAATTTAATAAGACAAATGATGCATTATCAGAGACTTTAAAACCATTCATGAGATTCTTTAGAAAGCTGGAAACTAAATGGAGAAGTGAGTGACATAACATAAGGAAACTGCAAACTACAGTTTGAACCTCCCAAATCTGGGACTCTCTGGTCTGACAATATTTTTGGTCTGGTAGGGCCATTGATGTTGCTGGACCAAAGAGCCCTGGAAGGGGGGAGGGGGGAGCAACACAGGGGCTAGGAATCCCCAATGTTAGTGGGCCAGGCAGCAGCCAGCTCCGGCTCCAGCCGGGGAACCCCAGTCCCAGCCACAGAACCTCCTGGCGTTAATACAGCCAGTTGATCAGGGCGTCCCGGCCCCAGCTGGGGAACTTCTGGCTGCAGCAGGGTTGCCTGTGGCCAGGAATCTCAGCAAA